AGTCCAGTGCACTCAAGGTGGGGACACCCTGTCCTGACTGCAGAGCAGAGACTTCTGTCAGCCCCTGTTCATCCTGGTATGATCTGTGCTGCTGTCTCAATCTTTGATGGTGGTTTACAATACATGACCTATGGGATACTTCAAAATCGACACAGAACTTAACCCATAACCTTTCCAAGGGTTAAACCACCACCCGTGGATGATATTTCTAGCTTACATCAGGTTATCTTGGGTAATTCACTTGGACATGATGCTAAACGACTGTGCTAAAATCAGATAAAGAAAGTGATTTGGGAATACAGCCTTCCTTGGCAGACTAAGCTGGTATGTGATCAGACAAGAATCATATCAGTAAATACGCAGCAGAGTTCACCATCTGTTAACACCATCCATGGAGTGCATCTGACCCTTGCAAACCTGCACAAAGTTGGCAAAAACCGAGCGTGGGTGCAGAGCAAAGGCGGGTGGCTTCATGCAGGGCTCTGCAGGTGCTCTGCAAGTCCAGACTGCCACCTCCAGGCACGTACAGCTCGCAGAGCCTCATGTGCTAATGACACAGCCAAATCTGGCCTGGACAGCTGTAAATGAAATGCTTCAGAGATGACTTATTGATAGCTTGGGGTATTATTTGGTGAGACTCGGAAAGGAAAGCTGTTTTACCAGGGAAAGACCAGCTCACACTGGTGCAAGCTGGAATGAAAGTCTCTTGGGGGACATTTAAGAAGGTGTGAAAATCCTGAGGGTTATTTTGATAGATGCGAGGGTTTATTTGCTGTCATGCATAAGCAAGAGTTTCCACCACCTCTCCTCAGATGGAGGAGTTTGCCTTTTGACCATCTCCTTCCCCTGGACAGGGTCCCTAAGTCCTCTCCACAGGGGTTTGTTGCTGAGCCAGTTCCTCTCAGCCATCGGGATCCCTGTCCCCATCCTGGCTGGACCAGATGGACACTGCTAGCACTGGGGCTCAGCTTTAGGAACACGAAGCAGTGCACGAGGTCTGGAAGCACGGCTCTGTGTCCTGGAGAGAAGCCCCCATGACTGGCCCTTGCCAGGACTGCAGCTGCCTGGCAGTTTCTTCCAGAAATGGAAGAAATGATGTTTCAAAAATGACATATCCTGCCCCGTCTTCATGGAGGATGTGAGCAGGGTGATACCCTGGGCATGGTCCTCACAGTCCTTCACTAAGTGATGCTGTAGCAGCTGTGGAGCAGCTCTGAATAGGGGTCCCTACGGACAAGAAGCAATGCCTAAGGGTGTCCTCTCCTGCCCGTACCTGGGGGAAGCAGCCAGGCACCAGCATCACTCATCCTTCCATGGATCAACTGTTTGGGACTGAGGAATGTAAGAAAACTTTGCACATTTTGCACAGTGTGGATGCTGGCTTTATTCATCACTGAATTAAATCAGTGAAATGTGGGTCCTTGGTGAAGACTGACATGTCCCAGTATTCCCAGGCTGTCCCACTGTACCCAGTGCCAGCAATGTCCTGTGGAGTGAGGTGTGATATGGTTGCTGTCCCTGTCTGCATGATGGAGTGAGGGTCTGAGCAGAACCTGCACCGCTGTGTGCACTGGACATGCATGTGGAAGGACAAGGATGAGGTGACCCTCAGAGGTCCCTTCCAACCATAGTTCTTGAAGTAATGTCATTATTTCTTGAACATGATGCCTAAGGATGTGTTTGGGAGGGAGTGGGGAAGAGGAAGGTCCATGACAGGACAGTAATAGGAGGAGCAACAGGCATCCTGCAGTCACAATGTGGATGGTAATGATCTGGTAGTGATGGGAGAGGCAAATACCAAAATGCGGTACGTAAAGGGGGCTGCAGAGCACAGGGCTTGTGAGCTCAGCCCTCAGTGCTGGGGAGGCTGGAGAGAATGGTGAAAGGGGAGACAGGGAGGGAGGATGCTGTGGATGAGGCAGGGTGGGATGACTTGAAAGCAGCTGGTGCAAGGAGGGCTGGGGCACCAGGGAGGACAGGGCCCCATGGCACTGCCCGGGTAGCCAGGCTGGCTTTTCCCTGCAGCAGGGATGCAGGATACTGTGGGATGCTGCGGGATGCTGCACTGCCTGGGGATGGCCACCTCCATCCCTGAAGGGCTCCAAAGACGCATGAGCAGGCAGTGAGGTGGATAGAGCTGATCCCATCCTGTGCTGTGGTGCCCTTTTGGTTTTATATGGCAAGAAAAATATGCTTTCCTGCAAATGCTGGTGTTGTCTTTGTCCCTGCAACTCATATGCTGGCTAATCCTTCACTGGAGGACAGCTGCAACCACAGCTAAATGCCTGCAAGATGGGCTTTGCAAGTCCACCTATGAGATACTTCAGCTCAGGGTTCAGAGGATGAGAGTTGAGGTTTTACTGGGTTTTTTTTTCTTTTTTTATTAACAATTCCTGAATTTCCAGGAGAGGTTAAGCCTGGGTCTTAGAAAACCTGCAAAAGAGCCCCAAGGTTCAGAGGAGCCTCTGCACACAATATCTCCCATGCTTGCATGATCTCCTGCCCTATGAAGCAATGACTTAGTGGTTTTTGGGGAGACTTCTCCCATCCTGCAGCACAACAACCCCCCACAGGGACCCTACAAATGAGCAGCCTCATGAACCAATCCCACAGACACTCCTGCTTGCCTGGGAAGCATCCTTCAGGTGTGGGAGGCTTTCTGGAGTGGAGGAAGGTGGTGGCATCCCTGTGCTGCCCCCCTTGTGCCTGTGAAGCAGCCATGGAGGCCCCCACACATTCTGCAAGTGGTGAAGCAGCTCTCTGCAGCACAGGGACAATAACAGGCAAGGAGATGGCCTGTGGGAAGAAGGAGTTTTATTGTCCAGGAGGAGGTGCACACTCTGAACATAAAAGGCAAACCCTGCCCCACCATTCCTGCAGCCAGCAGCAGCCCAAGGACCTCGTGCTGCAGGATCTGACCCATGAACCACCTGGAAAGGGGCCATCTGGCAGCTCCCAACCTCAGATCCTGCAGCCCACCTTACCAGAGTTGCCCAGTAAACCCCAAGGACACAGGTCTGTGGCACTGGCCTGACCTCTGCTCTCCCCAGTTTGTCCAGGGTGGACTCATCCAAACATAGGAAAGAGAGTACACGGCCAGCACCCACTGTCCTGTGCCATGGGTCTGGGACTGACCTCCATTGTGATGCTGACTGCAGGGTGGGTGAGTGACAGGTCTGAGTGCAGGACGCAGGGTGCAATACAAATTAAAAAAACACATTGCATCTGTTCCCCGTTACAAAGAGCTTCCATAGGAAGAAGTAAAGTGCCCGCCACAGTCAGAGAATCCATCAGGACATAAGCGCCCTGGATGGAAAGCTAAGCCAGCCCTAGAAAGGCAAGTTTAGCCAGGATTATTGCAGCTGAGAAATGGCTTTAACCCTCCCCCCACCCCCCTGTGCCCAAACAGCACTGGGAGGAACAGACCTCAGGCCAGCTCCTACCAGTACCTGCATTTGAATGATGCTGGGTTTACTGTGCCAGTGCTAAAGACAGGATGCTGTGGGCCAGGCTGGTCCCTGGCGGTCACCATGGCTCCCCTCCCGCACCTCTTCTCCAGCAGCCCCCCCCCACCCCAGCCACACTCCCAGAAGAGTTTTTTTGCAGTGAGTTGAGCCCCACAACTGAGGCTTCTGTGCTTTGAGATCATTTTTGTGAGCTTAACATAGTATTTCAGTAAAACAGTTCCCAAACCCATAGAAACTTCTATTTACACCCAAAAGAAACCTTTCCAGCCCACAGCCTGCCCCTCCGCTACCCGGCACATCTGTATCTCTGCAGCCAGGTCAGCCTCTCAGACCAGCTCCACAAGTCCTTGGAGGCCACTGCTCCGCACCAGGCTCCATCAGCAAGAGATGCTCCTGTGGAGGAGAGAGGAGAGCTGTGGAGGAAAGGCCAACCTCCCAGTCACTGGGCTCACCAGCCAGGCAGTGCTGAAGATCCTCTGTGCCCTGTCCCCAGCCACAGGGCAGAGCAATTGCAGCTGGAAATGTTGCTCAGGACCCCTTCTCTGCAGGTGACACGGCAGCCCTGGGCATAGGCAGGTAGTGTGGTGATGGGACAGCTCTTGGGGCTTGGCAGAAATCTCTCTGTCCCTCCGTCATGTGAGATGATGAATCTGATCCCACTCCTCTCTGCTCTGATACAGCTTTGGGAGAGGCCAGGCTCTGCTGGGGGAGAAACCTGAGCTTCTGGCCCTAGAAAATGTGCTGGGATACCTGTGCTGGATCTGGAGAGGAGCGGTGCTGTTGGGTTCAGGAGGTGAAGAGCTTCCTGCAGCACGCTGGGGCTTCGTGAGGCTCCAGGCCACAGACCCTGTCCATCTCTTCTCCATGCTGGGAAAGTTTCCCCTGCATGCAGAGCCAGCTGTCCCTGGCACTGCCAGCTTGTCCTGTGTCCCCTGCCCTCCTGGGCTTGGTGGAGGTGGACCATGAAGTCACCCGAAGGCTGGTGCAGTTCAGGAGGTCCCAGCTGGAGTACACTGGAACTGGGAGGTACTGGGAGCAGGGCTGTCTCTGCTGTGTGGCAGCCTGTGGGGCTCTCCTCAGTTCAGAGATCCAACAAACTCCCCAGTTGTCGTATCCAAAGGAGCTGTGTGCCACATGAAGCCAAATTCCACTGCTCCTGGTATTGCTGTTGTGTCTGACACTGCTCCATCTGCAGGTGCAGCTGGGGCCACCCCGCTGTGTGAAGGGGTCGCCACTTGTCCTGCATAGTTGTGTGGGGTCCCCCAGTCCCACAGGGACACAGTAGAGGATTCAGAGAGGCATGACATGTTCCTAGCCTGCTTGGAAAGCTGCTCCCCCCTTCAGATGGGGGAAGGAGGCAGCAGGACCATCGAGGTATCTGGAAAGCCATGTTTCCACTAGTGCTGAAATCAAAGAGACGCTGGCTGGGCTCCAGGTCCTGGTCTGGTGCCCCTTTTCCTGCTCACCACCCTGCTGCCCCTTTGCCAGGGTAAGTGTTAAGGAACGCCCGATGAGGGTCTGCAAAGCTGGTGATCAGAGATGCCTCCTGGGGCCATTTGTGTTCAGCAGCTGGGACCGCATGGCCTGGATGCTGCTCAGGATCTTCTTCTGGTGGCCCATCATGGTGATGCCCAGACTCCGAACATCCCTGGAGAACAAGGACACTGTCAGACACCCCATGGGCTGGACCTGTGCCAAGCCCCAGACAGACACTGCTCCTCCCCATGTGTGCACTCCATTGACCACCCCAGGACCCTGCACCTGGCTCCTGTCTGTTTGCCCATCACCAAAAGGCGGCTGCTGCTGCTGCTGAGGGTCCATGGGCATCCTCCCAGGGACAGAGAGGCTACCATTCCCTCTGGCACATCCTCCTGACAGGGCTGCTGTGACAGCCCCGGGGGGAGCAGGAGCAGGAGGGGGATCACTCCTGACAGGCTAGCAGGTGACAAGATCGATGCTCTGAAATTGGATTCAGTTTAGCAAGATGCCCTCAGATAACCCAGTCAGAAAGATGGATGGATGATGAGCCTTCCCTACTCCAAAGCTTCCCCGATGTGCATGAGAAACAAGGATCAGCAACCACTCAATCCCACAGCAAAGGCCTCATGTACAGCCCCCGATCAATGTACATGACAGCCCTCTGCCTGTGTCTCTCCATCTTCCCTTTCTCTGGCTCCTTCTCCACCTGCCCCACCTCAACGAAGGCGTGCACTGTCACATCCTTCCTGAGCCAGGGGCACTGGCAGCCCCCATGCCTTTTGACAGGGAACAAGTCTCCCCAGAGGAAGGAGAGGTTGTTGTCTGGCACTAATGCTAACACCAAGGGATGGGGAATGTAGGTCCAGGGTAGGAGCAGGCATAGCTGCTGCCTTTGGTGGTACCACTTGGAGCATCAGCCACCTCAGAGACCCCTTAGATAGGTGGCAGAGCAAGCTCCTTACAGCAGGATGAGGAGGATGGGTGGTGTGACATGTCTTCCGCAGCTCTCCTTCCTTAACACAGCCTTGGTCACTTGGCTCTGACCTTCCCCTGACACCAAGGCTCTGGACGGAGCCTCCCCTGAGCAGGGACCCAGTCCCATGCACTTGGGGCTGAAGGAGCTCTGACGCTTCCCACAGCTCTGTTTGTTTCCCAGTGATCCCAGAGAACCTGTTCAGTATGACCCAGACACATTCTGGTCCAGAAATGCCTTTTGCAGGGGAAACAAAGGTGAGAAGTGCAAGGAGACAGCAACCTCCTATCTGACCCTGATCAGAAGGTTGGATTATATGACCTTCTGAAACACAACCCAAATTGGAGAGCCATCACAGAGCACCAGAAGTGACTTGGTACTCACACCCTCTCAGTACAACTCCCACACCTTCTCTCAAAGGTCAACACAGCTTAGGACATTATTCCAGGTCTCAACACTATTTCCTTAGAGGTGCATCTCTGGCATCAGGGACCAACTAGATTGAGCAAACCAAGACAGGACAGTCACTGTCTGGGGCTGGTGGGATGGTGCAGGGCAACCCAACTGGTGCTGTCTGTTTTCTGGTACTCACTCGATGTTCATGCGCATCACCATGCCCAGGGAGGAGTACCCTGCCATGGCAAAGTTGTCCCGGTAGTGCCCCAGCCGGATGGAGTCTAGCCAGTCCTCCACTGTCAGACAGCCGGCCAGGTCGAAGAGACCTCTGTCGAGGCGAGTTTGGGTGAACCTGGGAGCAGGACAGGAGGGGTTAGATCAGGAGCTATTGGTTTTGGGTGGCCAGGCTGTGAGGTCCACCTCAAAGAGACTACATTGCATGCAGGGAAGGGTACGACTAGCTGGTAAGGACAGGCATGCTGCTACACGGGCACTGTGCCTGCATGGCCAGACCTTGATGTGGGAATGCCTGGTGGGAAAAGTGTAGGGCGCTTCCCACTGCCCACCACAACCTGTGCTCATGGGCCCTATGCATGTCCATTGTCACAGGGGAAGCCACTACTGCTAGAGCTGGACAGAAATATCCCTTATTCGCTGCAACCCCCATGCTCTGCCCACATCAGCTGTCAACCCCTGCTGATGGCAGCGGCTCAGGGAGACCCTACCTGTTCACCGTGGCCGTGCACTTCAAGTGGTCAGGGTTGCGGATAAGCTTGTCCAGGATGCCGACGATCTGGGAGAAGCGTGGCCTCTCGCTGCGGTCCTTCTGCCAGCAATCCAGCATGAGCTGGTGCAGGGCTGTGGGGCAGCCCATGGGGGCAGGCAGGCGGTAGCCTTCCTCCACCGAGTTAATGACCTGGAAGGAAGCCACACACCAAAGTGGAACTGCACTCCCATCCAACCCCCAGTATCCCAGATGGTGGCACACAGGGAAGGTCCCTGGTGCGTGAGCTGCTGGGGCCGTAAGATGGGGAAGCTGAGAGGGTGAACACAAGAATCATGCTAAATGACAAGTGCATCACTCTGTGGAGAGCTGGAAGCAGGCTGGATACCATGCACATACAAGAAATCCCTGCTATGATGGATATATTAAGTGGTCTGACAGGCCTAAAATATTGCAGCTTCCCTCCAGCAGACAAGCCGCACGAACTGCACTCACATTCAGTTGTTCTACAGCCAGGGATTGCCACCGCTCAGCAAGGCTGAAGGAAACCTTGCTCAAAGGAACTGTGCAGAGGAGGCAGCGTAAACCACTGCACCCAGCCCCTGTTGTCACCAGAGCCACTTTCTAAAATAAGAGAAACTCTAGGGAGAGAGGGGACTCTCAGGACTCCCAGAGACGGGAGGAGGCAGATAGGTTCATAGCTCCCATAGGTTAAAAAAAGGAGTCCTGTGGTTCTGCAGAGTCAAAAATACTCGTTTTATTGACTCCTTCTGGAAATTTTGCTCCCAGGTTGTAGTCAGGAATACAACTTACATTCTCCTGAAGTTTATCAAGATACTCCTGAGGTAACAATGGCTCCACATAACACTGACAACCCCAAAGCCTACTGCTGGGTGGTGTAAGCCTGGGGGTCTCAGCAGCCTTCCATGGGCAGTGGAAGGGGGATGGACCCTCGGCACTGGGTGCAGGCCAATGCAGTGGGGATGCAGTGATCCTAGGGAAGCCCTGACCCCTTCCAGTGGATGGCAAAGGTGGCACAACACATGCTGAAGCTCTCCAGCCAGCAGAAAGGCTTGTACAGAGGAGCAGATGGGGATGGGGAGACCCACAGCACCCACAGCCAGGAGCCACAGTGCTGCAAAGGGAAAGGCTGAACAGTGCAATGATGGGCAACATGCTGATGTCCCCACCGAGGGGACAAGCACACTGCTAGGCTGGCTTGGGTGAGGGCAGGAGGCTTGTCACCGTGCTGCTCCGCATCCACTCACATCCCGGTTGGTCATGTTCCAGTACGGGCGCTCGCCGTAGGCCAGCACCTCCCACATGACGATGCCGTAGCTCCACACATCGCTGGCCGAGGAGAACTTGCGGTACGCGATGGCCTCTGGAGCCGTCCAGCGAATGGGGATCTTTCCCCCCTGAAAAAAGGGAGCAACAGTGGAGGCTCAGAGTATGTGGGGCTCAGGCATCCCCACCTCTCTACAGCTGGGACAGCAGACAAGCAATATGCTGAGACGGCTTCTTCTGGAAAGGACTGAGGACACAATCTGCACAAAGCAACCCTGAAGGTGTACTTGAAGGATGACTTCAAGGTATTTCCAGTAGAGCAAGGAGAAAGCTGTGCTGTTTTACCAGGTCATCTTCATGGACAGTTCTGGCCCTCAGCATTAGAAAGGAATTCAAAGTGATGAGATGGAGCCAAGGGCTACCAGAGCACGAAAGCATGGAGCTGACCCTGGATGCAGGTGGAGAGCTTGAGCAGACAAGGAAAGCGATAGTATGTGTTCCCTGTCCATTACTGTTCTGGAAGGCAAGCACTGAAGAGGAGGATTTGTTGAATTAGAGGAAGACTTGTTGAATTAAAGGATTATGCTGTCAAAATCAGCAATAAATGGGCTAAGAATACATTTAATCTGGAAATATGGTTGCCAGGCATTTGGAGAGGAAAGCTGTAGTGTAGGGAACATTGGGTGGGTTTCCAGAGCAGCCAGGGCAGGCGTGATGTGCCTGGAAACACCTTTCAGGTATCCCTGCCTAGGGAGAGTTGCTTCCACCCAACTGAGTCCTGCCTACTCTGGCACACTGCTTGATGGGGACTGAAGATGAATGACGTGTCCTTCGTAAGAGTTCCATTTGGGAAAGCATCTCCTGAGCAGGTCAAGGACAACAGAGGAGGAACACAGGATACAATCTTATCTCAAGTTTCTGAGCAAGAAAGCATCCTCATTCTCAGGGTGCCCTCACTGAGATCTCATGAGAGATCTTATGTTCCTGATCCTGTCACTGCATCCTTGTGGTTCAGCTCTATCCGGACTACGCACCTAGTTTTCCTCCAGAGCAACCAGCTCTGGTGGGTTTTACTGTGCCAAGATACCTCAAAGCCTCTGCTTGCGATATGTGTGGTGGTTACTTCATCCTCCATTGACCTCCCTGCTTGCATTTCCACTGAGGACACAAAACTATGTTTCTAGAAACTGGGCAGGATTGGAAAGGGTCGGCACATAGGTCACTACGTGAGCTCTGGACACTCAAGTCACCTCCCTCACCCAGTGTGGTCACTGACATCCTGTCTCTGGAAATCTGTTTGCAAATCTTAAAAACACAGGGGGAAAGCTCGGAGACTGGCTTGGTGGGAGGGAGGCCAGGCTGTGTGTGTATCTGTAGGCCACAGACAAGGAGATGGGCTGCTCAGACACCAGGAAGCCCTCGCAGATGTTGGGCCCCTTCTTACCCTTCCTTCCAGTGCCAAGATGCATAAGAAGCTGTACTTGAACCAAGCAGCAGGAACCTTCCCGAAAATTAAAGCATCTGAAATATCAAGTTGTTTCTTGAGATATCAAAGGGAACAACTGAATACAAAGACACACATAGGACACATGTAGCCCACTTCACTGCTTGGCTGAAGCCAAGCCAACAGCATGAAGACCGTGTTCTTCAGGCTGGGCCACTGTGTGCTCATCCCTCAGAGCTGCAACCGCTTTGGGCCATGCTCTGTATGTCAACTATCCCAAAGTAACCTGAAGTTCTTTCTGCTTCTTTAGTCTTGGTCCTTCCGAAAAATGATGCTCAAATTCTTCAGCTGCAGCTCCAAACTGGTTCCTGATGGGAACCGCCTATCCAATGCATTTTTCCCAGCCAGAGGTTTGCCTGGGGAGCACACTAATTCCTTTTACGGCTAGAGAAGAGCAAAAAGAGCACATTCCTTCAATGTATTTCATTTCATCTCTGATGACCTCCAGTGGAGGAGAACATCAAGTTTCAGAGCTGTCAGGTTGGCCAGAAAAGTCTTAAAATTACTTCACAGACAAAAGTGTCCTACATTAAAATAAAAACATCTAGGTTGCAAAGCCAATTCCCACCCTTTCCACTCCCCTGAATGAGGTAGAGTCACATGGAAAAGCTAGTTTGTGGCTGCGTTACTGAAAAGTGCACCATAACACTGACTGATGGCTCTAGGACAACTGAAGGAGAGGATGGAGTTGCGCAGCCTGGGGAAACACACCAACAGGGACACAGGAGCATCCCTGTGCATGGCACAGGAGCTGTTGGCTCAGCTCCCTGCTCTCCCACCCTGCTTCTCTTTGTCCATTGCACACTTCAGTTCTAGGCTGTCCCTGTATGCATTAAGGCTCAGAAGGTCTTTGGGTTCACGCTCTTGGCCCAGAAATAAGCAGTGAGGTGACTACCTCCACTCCTGCCCTGCCTACCTTGACTTGAGAGGAGTGTCTAACTTTTCCACCTGTCAGTGACCTGGGACAGTCACCGTCAGTAAGGATCAGCAAGACTGTGATGCTAGGAGCCATGTACCGTGGTAGTGTAAGCGGCATCGGGGTCGTCCTCCAGGATGCGTGAGAGGCCAAAGTCAGACACTTTGCAGACCAGGTTGCTGTTCACCAGGATGTTGCGGGCAGCCAGGTCCCGGTGCACGTAGCCCAGGTCAGACAGGTACCTCATCCCTGCTCCAATGCCACGTAACATGCCCACCAGCTGGATGATGGTGAACTGCCCGTCATGTTTCTGGAGAGGAAATAACCCAGAGTTCATTCACGGCTTTCACCAGAATCGTACTGCTGCTGCTCTCATTGAACTAACCCCCTAGTACCTCTCATCTTTGGCTTAGTCCCTCCTCTAACCCCAGTGCCATTCTCTTGTCCCCCCCAGTGCACCTCATGCCCTCCCAGCGCCTCTGACAAGCTGCTCAGGTGGGTGTCCTTGCTTTTGCAGTACCGCTTTGGGGAGCCGGCCGCAATGCCCTGCAGCCCGTGCCTGCTGCAGAGGTGAGAGCCCAGAGCACAGCGCTCTTCTCCCATCACTCAGTCCAGGGAGATGTGCAGTGAATAAAAATACAAGAGGGCTCCTTACCCTGAGGAAGGTGTCTAGCGAGCCGTTCTCCATGTATTCTGTAACAATCATTACCAATTTGCCTGCAGAAGACAAGGGAGGTCAAGTTAGCAGAGAAGTCACCTTCCTCCCAGAAGCCCAGTGCCAGGCTTTAACTGAGAGAGACATGAATCCAGGCCTGTAGATCCCCTGCAGCCCCTGGTGTGACTCACCCCTGCACTGTGCAGGACAGTGGGGATGTGGCAATAACCCCGACACTTACCCCTCCCTCCAGGTGCTATTGAAGTGGCTAGGTCAGCTTCGTTATCCCGCTGAAATGTGCACGCTATTAGCATAACACTTTGCATCAGAATGTGCCTTTCTGAAGGAAGACTTCAAATTATGATTCAGTACAGGCAACCTTTAAAATAAACGCTAATGGCTAGGACGTCTCCCCAACCAATAACCCTGACCTGGGGCACACTGCAGAGTGAGGTGAGGAACTGCTGCATGGCAAGTTTGTCTTGTTAGAGAAAGCAAGGGGGTGGGATGGAGGGGACCCCTCCAATCTGACAAGCGAGCAACAGGGGCAGACAAAAGATGGACTGCACCCAAAGTGACTACTGGCTCCCATCTCCCAGGATTCCCACAGGGAGATATGTCCCAGCTCTGGCCCAACATAGGGTCCCGTCCCCACCAGCCACATACTCCTGGTCACCACCCCCTCCAGGTGGATGATGTTGGGGTGGTCAAACTGCGCCATGATGCTGGCTTCGCTCAGGAAGTCTCGTCTCTGCTTCTCCGTGTAGCCTGCTTTCAGGGCCTTGATGGCCACGGGAATCTCCCTCTTCCCCGGCAGCTTCAGGCGGCCGTAGCACACCTCTCCAGACTCCCCTGCAAGGCAAGGGAAGGTGAGGGCATGGGAGCTCTTCAGCTTCTTGCACCGCTCTCCAGCACCATGGATCACCCTGGTCTGCTGGCATGCTCGCAGTGTGTTCCAGCGCCTCAGGACTCTTGGGCTCTTTGTGCATCTGCCTCCAAGTGCAGAAAGGATCGCCCATCTCTGCCTTCCAGTGTCACCTCTGGGAACTGGGCAGAAACATCAGAAACCACCTCTCTCTGATGCCTTTTACTGAGGATGATGGGTCAAGAGTGATTACAGTGGTACTTGCTTTACTGTTTTCATCGAACAAAGTCTGGGGTCTCTTAGAGCAGCAGAGACATCTCTCAGCCAGGCTTCCTCATGCTGCTCTGCTTGGCTCTGCACTGTCCCTCAGTACAGAGTGAGCCTCCATAAGCCTTTGGGATGCTGCTGGTGAAGCTCCAGCTGCGTCCCATGCTTCCCTGCAAGCCCCTGTTCCTAAGCAAAATCCCTTTTGCTCTGAAAAGTCACCATTTTGCTTGCAATTTCATTTGCATCTTGTCACCCCAGATGTTTGCTCTAAAGTCTGAAAGCAGGGTGTCCACATTGGGGCACATGGGACAGGCTGATCCATCTGCTGTGTCAGCCTGAGACATCAGTGCCATTCCAGCTGAACAGCAACCCTCCTCACTAAGAGCCTCCAAAGAGTTTATTTCATGCCCAGGGGACTCACCGGACCCAATGACCTTCTCAATCTTGATCCGGGAGGCCTCAATTTCACGGGTGAACTCGTGCACGGCTTGGCAGGGGTCCTCATATGTGTGTGGGTCCACGTAGAACTTGGACTCGGGGAACTTCACTGCCAGGTTCCAAAGTGAAGAGAGGAGATAAGCTCTTTCAGGCAGCCCTGCTGAGGAGTAAGGGCCCCCACCAGCCAGGTAGAGGGTGGGCAGGGGCAGGACTTTTTGGGTTGACATGCTGAGGAGCCACAGAGGTTGCAGCACCAAGGAAACCCAGGGCACTCTGTGGCATAGCAGTGTCCTCAGAGCAGCCCAGGACCTGGCTGCACAGGTTCTCCTCCATGTCATTGTGCCCCTCCATCATCCTCCCATTCCCACCCCTTCCCTGTGATGAATTTTCCACTCCTCTGGCCTGCTGCTGTCCGAGATGAACGTGCTGCAGCCCCACCTCACTGTGCAACCCTTCAGCCCCATTACCAGCACGTCCCTGGGATCAGAGCACCTGCTCAGCTCTCCTAGACTCATCCCCAGTAGCAGGGAGTGGTCAAAACCCTTCCTGCTGGAAAGCACAGCAGTGCCGGAGGGTAATGGTTCAGGTTCTTGCCCATGCACAGGGCTGTGGTCTTTCACATCCCAGGAGCAGCAGCAGGGAGGGTCCTACCTTGCCCATTCTGATAATGCATCTTCTCCTCGTCAGAGTCCTGGAAAGCCTTGCTGTACCCGCAGTGCCTGCCACGGGGACACAGGAGTCAGAAGAGGTGCTCCCACAAGCAGCCCAACAGCAAGGTGGAAGGCAGTGCATGCCAGAGCTGTAGGCAACCCAGGAGGAGCTGGAGCTAATGCTTGGCCCTCCACCAGCTGCATCCCTGTGTCTTGCTGAACTCACGCTTTGCCTGGATGGAGCAAGGTGCTTTCCAGGTGCTCTCCAAGGCTTGGCAGTGCTAAAGCTGCAGCACTTGTGTCTCCTCTGAACAGCGGCGTTTGTGCTCCACATGCCTGGCTCAGCCATGCTGAGATGCAGCAGCACATAGTCCCTCTTGGACCCTGCTGATGGAGAAGAGCTCTCTCCACTCCTGACCTACCTCCTAGTCCACCCAGTTAGCTCTCGTACTGGTACTGGTACTGGTACTGGTACTGGTACTGGTACTGCTATTGCTATTGCTATTCAGCCTGCTGGAATGAGGGGAAGGTCTGGACATAGGCTCTGCCTCAGAGAAGGTGGAGGCACGGTGACTTCTAAACAATGTATCTTGGTTGCTTATTAACCCCTGACCTATGGGTGCTCTGAGTAAATTGACAGGAGAAAAGTTGCACCCAAGTTCTCCAATCTCTCCTGCCCTGCTTGGTGACAAGCCACACTGACCTCCAGAAAACTCTTACCTCTTCTTGCAGATTAGGACCACCAGCAATGCAACAAGGCCAGTGATGAGCGTCAGGCAGATCCAGACGATGGTCATTGTGTCATACCGCAGAGAGACTGGAAGAAGCAGGGTAGCAGGGAGGTGAGCTGGTGAGGAACACTCTGCTGTGCTCAGAAACTCACCTACCCCACTGGGGTCAAGTTCTTCAAAGATAAAGCACCATTCCCCACCCAGCCCTATCTTTGAGGCTCTCCCAGTGTACAGGGAACAGCACAGATCTGGGAAAGCAATAGGGATAGAGCAAACCAGTGGAGAGAGGAGTCTGGAGCCTCAGGACCTCACCAGGTCTTCCCTGCCCTAACTGCTATGCCCTTCCTCCCTCTTCTTTCTAATGTATAAACGCTTCTCAGGAGATGTGCCTCCAGCCTCTCTCGCTGTGTGGCAGAGGCGCAATCACCATGGACAAGGACATTGCCAGCCCCCATGCTCCTTGCCCCACACTTCCCACATCCCACAGCTGCCCACTCTCACCTGGCTTCCCCGTTTCCACCTCCACGGTCTGACTGAACCTCCCGCAGCCAGCGGAGGTGCGAGCCCGGACCTGGAAAATGTAGCGGGTGGCAGGCTTGAGCCCAGAGATGGTGGCAGCGGTGTCCTTGGACTTCAGAGTCGAATAGCTCTGCATTTCTTTGTCCTGGGGAAAAGCAGCACCAAAACCCCTGCTGGCATCAGCACAGCAACCACAGAGTTTTCCAAAATAGCCCTTTGTGCAAGGCTGACTGATACCAGCAATTGCACCAGCAGGATTTAAACTGTCCCATGCCCCTGTCTAAACCCACCACACCTGGGACCGACCTGCAGCAGCAAGTTCAGTGTTACCTTCTCGTAGTACTTGATCTCATACTCCAGGATGATGCCATTGGGCTGGTCCGGCTCTTGCCAGAGCAAGGTGACGCTGTTCTGGCCTGTGCTCTCCTGGTGAACCACCACCACCTGGGACGGAGCTGGGGATGCAGACAGCAGGGTGTGAGGGGCCTGCTGGTGGGGGTTCTGTGGGGTGGGGGCAGCAGGACACAGCAGCAGGGAGGGGTGTAACTGGAGCCCCATGCAGGACCTCTGTTTTAAACCATGTTTCTGTTTTAATTAAAGCTATGGGGAGATGAGTGTGGTGAAGGGGACTGCAAGCAGGCTTTTGTTCACTTCAGTTACCTCAGTCTCTTTCCCATGGAGAAAGCAGGCTCTGAGGAGATGAAAGAGAAGGGCATTGACCCAGCACAGACAGGAGGGGACACTGGTGCTTTGCTGTGATCTGGAGCCAGAAATGAGAAGGAGCTGCGGGGCTGGAGGTCATGGAGATCCCTAGCAGGACCCTGACCCCTTCTGCCCCACCTGGGGGAGAGAGGCAAGGGAAGAGGGAAAGGGGAGATGATAAAAGCCCAGAGGGGTGATCAGGGACTGAGCATCAGTCTAAAGGTGCGCTGGAGCTGCTCTCCTGCCCTGAGATATTTGACACCTGCCTGGGCCTGGGCTGGGAGCCTGTCAACCAGTCCTCATACCTGCCATGTCTGAATGGGAGCTCTTCACAGCTGGAGGAGCCAACTCACCAACCTCTTTTCCCTCTGGGAGAATACCCCTTGGAAGGACCCAAGAGAGTGTGGCACGGTGCCATTGGGTCTAACTCATGGGAACGGGTCAGGCACCTTTTACAACCCTAACTGCTGAATGGAGAATGGGATGTGGTGGCTCTGGGGATGATGGAGCAGCTGTCGGCCGCGGCTGCAGTGCAGGGGAGTCACTGGAGCAGCACAGAGACCAGAAGATGCTGCAGGGGCTGCAGAAGCTGTGGGGCACCCAGGGACTGAAAGGCAGCAGTTATTGCTCAGTTCGTCTTTGAACTGGCTTCACTGAGCAGCAGAAATCACTGTTGGGACACAAGACCCCAGGGAGCTGGGACAGCGTGGGATGGTGGGAATCAGCTAAAGCCCAACAGCACTTGCAACGCCTCCTTTCCAAACAGTCCCAGGGCACCTCTCCTGCACCCCTCCTGCCCTTTTCACGACGCCATTTTCACGGGGGCTCGGTGGAGGGATGAAGAAGTGCTATGGGCAGGCATCAGTAACAAAAGGGCCTTGTTCTCCCGCCAGCTGTGAGCTAACCCAGCAAGGCTCCCCGGGTTTGTCTTGCTGCCACCACTGCTGTAAGAGCAGAAGGGGCTCAGCATCACGGGAAGTTCCTGTGGGCTTGTTTCCAAATGGGAGGATTAACAAGGGTCAGTCCCTGCCCTGTCCCCTCTGCCTGCAGCATGCTCCATGCTGGGCTCTGCTCTGAGGACATGTCCAGGTGACCCTGGACAAGGTCCTGGCCCGCCTCATCTAGAGTATTGCTCAGAGGTATTTGCTGGGGAAAAAACATTTTGCAGCAAGGGATTTGCAAAGATGAGCCATGCATGAGAGACACTTTTCTCAGCGAACGTTGCTGTCACCTGCCAGGGCCTGGCATTGGTGCGAGGTAAGAGCAGAGCATGAACTGCTGCTTGGCCCTTTGGGAAGGGGCAGAAGGCTGGAGGAACAGCCTGAAAGATTCATGCTTCACTTAGTGTTCCTGTCAATAAACAAGTGTTCTCCATGCCCTCTGCCTCCTGCAGAAAGGGAGCCTCCACCAGCAGCTGCAGGCTGAAGTGAAGGGAAAGGAGGATGAAAAAAGATGCCATGAACCAGAGAAGGGTTAAGAGTTGCCTTGGTGTCCTGGTTTCACTGGGATGGGATCATAGAATCAGTTTTCTATTCAGGAAAGCTGCATTTTTGAGAAGACTGCAGCACTCACTTTAGTGGGAACAAAATTGATAAAGGCACTTTGTCTTAGTTTTTGGCCAGCTCTGGTATGCAGTGATCAGAGTCTGTAGCAGTTTGAGTCAGCCAGGTGCAGAAGCCAGGAGGAGCAATAGCCAGGGCAACTGACCCAAGCTGGCCAACAGGGTTATTCCTTACCAGAAACATCATGCTCACTATAAATAGGGGAGTTTACTGGGGTTGCCCTCTCTTCTTTCCTATTATTATTATTATTATTATTATTATTACTACTACTACTACTACTACTACTACTACTACTACTACTACTTTAGTTCAGTTTATTTCAATCATTAAACTGTTTTTATCTCAACCCCCAAGTGTTCTGACCTTTCTCCTCCAATTCTCTCCCCCACTTCACCAGGGAGCAGGGCAGTGAGGGAGTGGATGAGTGATATTTAGTTGCATGCTGGGTTAAACCATGGCAGTTGGGCAGCAGCTTGTCTCCAGCCCACCCCAGCTCCCTGAACCCACCTCCAGCAGCAGAGAGGATAGGGGTCACACCTACTGGAGATCTCATGCCCATCACCAAACCAGTCCTTAGCTGCTAGGACAGGTCCTGGCTCCTGCAGATACTGACTGGAGCAACACTGGAGCAACATCAGCATCACCCACACAGGCAAAGCCTGGAGGGGGGGTGTCTGCTCCTCCTACCTGCCTGGTTTGTCGTGATGTTGGCGACCGCAGCTCTCCTGGACTCCACGCTGAGGTCTGAGACGCCGTTGACGGCCTCCACCCAAAAGGAGTAGTTGGTGTGGGCCAGGAGGTTGGTGACCGTCAGCGCTCCCTGCACCAGGCTCATCTGCTGGGGCACATAGCGGATCCCACTGCCGCACGCCTCGCACTGGCCATCGTCCCCCATGCAGCGCCTGCAGACCACGTTGTACACGATGTCAGCACGTCCCCCCTTGTCCAGGGGCGGGCCCCACTCCAGTGTCACTGAGGTGCCATTGACGCTGGAGATCAGGTTCACAGGAGCAGAGGGGGGGCCTGGAAAAGAAGCAGAGGTTCATGCAGAGCGGGGGATGCTGAAGTGTGATGGCACTGGCAGAACATGGGACCAACAGGGAGATGCGCATTGGGAGCAGGTACCTGCATGTGCAAATGATGCTACAGGGAACACAGAGCTGCTCAGGGCGGAGGAGGGAAATGCTCCAAACAGAAGAAAGCAAAGACACAGAGAGGTCTCAGGGTGAAATGCCATGGAGGATCAGGATGCCAAATGCCAGGCAGGCAAGAGCTGATGTGTGTTCTGGGGAAAGCAATTAAGCTTTTGGTGGAAGAGCCAAGGTGTTGACGGGCTAGACAGTGGAGAAAAAGACCTGCTCATCTAAAAGGAAGGGTAAGCTCACGTTTCCTGGGGAGGTTAACAATCTTGGGTGGATATCCCCTAGGGAAATATAAGTCAGATGTTGTTGACTTGTCTTTCACCCTGGCTGCAGCCAGCAGCCCCACACCTTTCTGCCCTCCTGGACCAACTACAGAGAGGAGGACTTCTTTTGGGAAGTTCTTGTCCCCTCTTAATAGCACTAGGCCCCTCAAAGCAGCCTATTGCAGACACCTGAGCTGAAACCATATGACAAGCCCTAGTGCCACTGTCCATCCACAGTGAAGGAGAGCACAGCAACACATCCACTGCCTCACAGCCTCCCAGGGCTCTGACCACCCTGGGCATTTCTGCCAAGGAAAGCAGCCACACTCCATCACAGGAGAAAGCCCCAGGGAGGGAAGTTTGGAGACCGGGGATGTTTGGAGAGCAGCAGGATGAGGATGAGACAGGGGGCAGTGAGGGAGTGCAGCGGCCACGACGATGCTGGGTTTGGCCTGGGGGCATCTGCCATGTCCGAGGACGGGCACCCGTGCGGTTGGGGTACTCACGCGTGCATGCAGCCGAGGGGGGGTCCTGCACCGCCCGGTAGAAGGTGTTGTCGCAGCGGCAGACACGGGCCGCCCGGCTCTCTGAGTGGCTGTGCAACGGGCATTTGGCGCACAGCTGGTCCCCAGGGGCTGACTTGTAAAATCCCATCTGACAAGCTGCAGAGGAGGGAAGGGACAGAGGACAGGGGATGTATCCCACAACTTGGTGGATTGCACCAGCACAAAGCTGGACCCCCCTTTCACTGCCATCCCAGTGCATGGGAAACCAGCCCATCTCCCCAGCAACTGGGCGAGACCCCTCCAGCAGGGAACTGGGCTCTGTGGAAGCTGCTGCTATTTCTCTCCAGGCTGTACTCACTGCCACCCTGGTACCTGTTCCCCACTGCTTCACCGACTTGGGTGCCTCTGCTCCTCGGGAGCCGCCTGCAAAGCTGGAGGTGCTCTCCTGGCACCTCTGCCTGCTGCCCAGAGCTCTCCCTGCTCTGCAGACACTGCCTGGCCCGGGGGCAGAGAGTGCTGCAAAGATCAAACCAGGCAGCACTGCAGATCACCTTGTTAATTATTATTTATAGGGCAAATTTACAGAACAATCCTCACTGCATGGTGGTGCCACGCTGACCATGCTGGGTGTGCACAGGTGCCCCAGAGCATCCATGTGGCCTGTTTCAAGAGCTCAATGCCCCGGTGCGCTGCTATACAAAGCAACAAGTTTCCTTGCACAAAGCAAAGGGGAAACACCCTCTCTCATTTCAGGTTGCAGCAAACAGGCAGTGCACGCACACCGCCTGCTCTCTGCAGAGGGACAGGAGGCCAAACGAGCCACGATGAGCTTTTTCTGACAGCACAACCCGCCCTCGATTGCTCTGCTTCCTCCTGGTGCTGGGCCTGATGGGAGGAGCACACAGTCGTCCCACGCTGGGGCTGGCGTCGCTCTGCTCCATCATACCCCCACCTCTCCCAGCAGCCCCTCGGGTGAACCATTTGTCACACAAACAAACAACTCGTCTCTCGTTAGGAACATTGATTAGCTCGGGAGTGACGCGTGGCATGTCAGGTATCTGTCTGGAGGCAGAAGGATCCTTCCTCTCTTGCAGGTTTCAGTTCCAAGTAAGGAAAAACGGGCTCTGTTTGGGTCCCTGTATTCATCAAGTACTTCTAGGACCCGTTCCAGTGATTCAAGCATTAATCCTGGCTCTGACTCATTTTTGGTTTTCCCTACTGTGGTAGTAATACCTTCATTTTCCCGTCTTTACCCGCTCTGCATACTGCCTCAATTTTTGCTTCCAAACATGTGGAAGCATTTTTGTTTGTGATCCAGCATCCCCGGTGGTCTGGGTCCCTCCGTGCTGGCTGTTTGTTCTGCTTCTAGGTGCTGATTTGTTTCCTTATTAATAACACTTGTTTCCTTGCCACAGATCTCCCCGGGCTGATTGCTACCAACATTTTTCACATATCACACGCTGCACAGTAATACAACGGGCTCTGTATAACTCGCCCTCGGTATACCCCAGCTGCTTCCAGCAACGGCAGCTGAAGACAGTGCTGCAGCCACACACCTCTCTGGTGGCTTTGTGCTCCCTCTGCAGACTGTCTCCAGCTTCTGTGGCACTTTTGCACTGCTGCTTTAAATCCAGGGGAGCAATAAAAACAAAAAATAACAATAAAAAACCCCAACCAACCAACCAAAAAAAAACCAACCCCAAAACCCAAACAAATCTCAGAAATAAAAGTTCCCAGGTTTTCCGTGTGAGAAAGGATGAAGACATGGAATAAGCACAGCCTGCCAGAAGGGAACCGGGCAATGAGACATCCCCACAGCCCATGCTGGGCAGTGTGTGTGCCAGGATTTGCCACCTTCAACTTGTGTGAATTCCCCTTGGACCTGCAAACCACCATCACCTCTGCCCATGCAGGAACCAGCAGCCAAGGACTCATGATTCAAGAGGCACTGGAGTGTCTCTCCCCACCAATATTTAATTAAGGGCTGGGAAGTCAGTGCTATATCAGGTATGGAGAGGCAGGCAAGCAGGAAGGATGAGAATATGTAGCACGGCAGATTTGCACCAAGCAATTGTAATCACTTAGCATTTAATGCTGAAAAAAAATCCCATTAATTGCCTGTAGCAATGATTCACAATTATTTTAGATGCACTCAGGGGGAAAATTATCCTAAATGACAAATTATAGGTGAATTTGTGCACCAGGCCAGAGCCATCGAGAGCCACATCCCAGCACCTGGACAGCACAACCATGTGAGGAGGCCTGGAGAGCAACTGGGGCTGGGGCAGGCAAAGCCCTGGATGGGGTCATGGACTGCTCTGGATGGGGTCATGCACATCCGTGTGTCCCTGTGCTTGCTCTAGATGGAAGTAGGACACACATGCAAAGCCTTTCACAGGCACAGGAGACAAGGCACCAGCTTTGAACCTGCACGAGATATGAAAAGCCTGCAGGACAGGGTGACAGGTATGTCCTGCTCTGGACTGAGTGCTCCTATGCCAGGCCAATGATGTGTGAAAGACCAGGACCTCCTTGTTTAGAGCAAACTCAGTCCAACACAACAGGTTTAAAATCCACAGGACTCCTCAGCCATGGTTGCAGCACACACAGAAGCCACCGAAATCTGGAGCCACCCACCAGTGAGGTGCAGAACCACTGTCCTGCTGTCTGCACTGCAACCAGCTACTGCCACCTGCCAGAAGTGCCCTCCCAGGAGCCCTGCAGAAGGTGCAGATTTCTTTATGTTATTATTTTATGCAGTTGATACCCTTGCTCTGTGTCTGAGGATCTCGAGTTCTGTCTATTTGTGGACCAACAGGACTCCTGCTACCAGTGTCATTCCCCCTGCCAAACCCATCCCAGGCTGCCCATCCTCGCAGTCCCACTTCAGGGGGTGGTTTTGTGGTGCACATGGGGCAGCAGCAGACCTTCATCCCAGCCCAGCTCAAGAATTGGTCATCTATGCTGGGCTCATAGCCCACACATCTGCCTGGTCCCAGCCTCACAAGCAGAGCCTGCAGGAACCAACACTAAACCAGTGCTTGGCACAGCACATCTCCAGCCCTCCATCACATAGGTGGGTCCCCAGTTACCACCTCAGCCTGGTGGGGTCAATGCCACGGGGCTCCCTTGACCCCTCCCACTCTGCACAGCACACCTTGCCCACTTTCTTCAGCCCAGCAGCCCCACTCCCTCATGCATCGCCTGCCCAAGGGGTCCCGGAGCAGCAGGCTTGTCTCAGAGACAGCGAGTGTGGGGAGGGCTCTGCCAGCCATCTGTAGTTTGGTCCATTTGTTTCCCTCCTTCTCCATCCTCTGGGGACAGGACAACATCTGCTAATAAGCTGGCAGAGCTCGGGAGATGATAGATGAACCTGTCGAGGATACGCGAGCTGGGTATGAGCCTCTCTTCTCAGTCTGAAGTCGCCATCTGGGACTGGTGCTCTGCAGGTGGCCCTGGTGGGACCACCAAAGGGTACTTCAGTGGGGCGGCAAATGTGAGCATCAACCCCGTGTCAATCCCTCTCAGCTCCATCCTCAACCCAGGAGGTTTGAGCAGGGTGAGGGCATGGCTGAGAGGGTGCAATGGAGCAGCTTCATGGCACCAGTGACACCAATTGCCCCCATCCCCGTCCCCTGGGCATCTGCAAACCCAAGAGAGCGGCCATGTACCTCCCTTTGGTGGTGCTGAGGAGAGAGGGAGATGGAAATAATGCTATCTCTGGTGACAGCCAGACACAGGCACCAGTTCCAGGGCCCTCCAGGCTGCAGGAGAAGCTAGCACAAAAATCCCAGCTCCTTTCAATCCAGTTTCAACCTGATGCCTCCAATCTCAGCTCCCGCATGACACAGACACTGACACAGAAGCTGGTTATTCGCAGTCATGTCTTAAAACAAGTCATCTGCCTCATTACCCAAACCTTGTGTTTTTGCAGGGCTGTGCTCCCCTTTCCCTGCAGTTCCCAGTCAGCCCAGGCTCTGTCCCCAAGTTGGGGAGTGGTTTTGGGGACTGGCTGGGGTGGTTCTCTCAGGCCAACTCTTGATCCCTAGATCATGCATAGTCCCATGTCCCTGCTGATGCTCTGTGCATCCTTTGCATGTTGCTTGCCCCTGCACTGTCTCACACCCCCGATCGCTGCCTTACAGCCCTTCACACATCCCAGTTCCCACCTTGCACCCCCTTTGCACCTCACAACCCATCACACCAGCCCACACGCCTGAAGTCGTCTCACATCACCCCAGACTCCACTTCGCGTCACCTCCTCGCTGCTTGGCCCTTCTTTCCACAATTCAACCCATCTCACACCCCTTCACGCCCCCGAATGTTGCAGAGAGGGGAGCATGGGAAGTTTTCACCCATGAAGATATTCTAAACCTAGCAAAACCCTACGCGCCAGGCTGCGAGCAAATCACATGCAGTGAAGGGCACCCTGCACAGCTTCTTGCTTAACACCCAGATTTCACGGCCACCAGGACAAGCTGTATAAGGAGTAATTCCAGTATTAGGAGCTGGGTAAACTGGAATCATGAAGGTCCAGACTGGCTGCATCCCAGCCTCAGCACCTGCATGGTGCTGCCATAGAAAAATCAGCAGGTCTTGCCTCCTGCCTGGAAATCAGTGCTATTGAAAGCACCCCTGACTCTGCCCTGCTCTCCTTCCCTGTATCTTTTGGGAGTGGTGCTCTGCTGCCTGGCACAGACGTCCTTCTGCGGAATGTGGTGGAGGTGACGCTGTGCAGCTTTGTGTAGGGGCGACAGCCTGGCACGCTCTTGGAGCAAAGGCTTTTTTTATAAAGCTTATCTGGGGAAACACTACAGCTTGCAGGAGTCAGATGGAAACAGGCGGCCCAAAGCTAGAATTAGAAAAAAGGCTGTTTCCAAAACTCAGTCTTGTTGGAGGGTTTTAGACAGAACTATCCAAGGCTTCTGGAAAAAACCCTCAGTTTTCACCAGACCAAAAACAAATGCAGAAAACACCGTGTTCAGGAAGGAGCGGGGCCGAATGGGAGCTGCCCCTGGAGATGACAGTGCTGGAGGTAACCCCATACCTCTGCTGCAGGGCTTCAGGGAGCAAAGGTGTATAAATGAAGAAAGGACACCCAAAGCACCAGCCCCTGCGGGAACCAGTATGAGCTTTGGAACGTTTGTGAGGTCTCT